ATACCAATGTATTCTAGTAATATGATTTTGACTGTGTTGGTGTTGTGTACTCAGGTGAATATGATATTTGTGATGTTACTCGAACCGTCCTGACCGCGTAGCTCAGTTCGAAGAGCATTGGGCTAGTATTCCAAAGGTCGTAGGTTCGAATCCCACCGTGAACGGGCATATTTTTCAAGCTTGCCCGGTGTGGATATACACTCAGAGTAACATAACAAATATCATATTCACCTGAGTACACAACACCAACACAGACAAAATCATATTACTAGGATACATTGGTATCGAAGGAACTAGATTCTGTTCCGAAATATCACTTACTCCAACCGTCCTGACCGCGTAGCTCAGTTGGAAGACCATTGGGCTAGTATTCCAAAGGTCGTAGGTTCGAATCCCACCGTGGCCGCGCATATTTTTCAAGCTCGCCCGGTGTGGATATACACTCAGAGTAACATCACAAATATCATATTCACCTGAGTACACAACACCAACACAGACAAAATCATATTACTAGAATACATTGGTATCGAAGGAAGTAGATTCTGTTCCGAAATATCACTTACTCGAACCGTCCTGACCGCGTAGCTCAGTTGGAAGAGCATTGGGCTAGTATTCCAAAGGTCGTAGGTTCGAATCCCACCGTGGCCGGGCATATTTTTCAAGCTCGCCCGGTGTGTATATACACTCAGAGTAACACCACAAATATCATATTCACCTGAGTACACTACACCAACACAGAAAAAATTCATATCACTAGAATACATTGGTATCGAAGGAACTAGATTCTGTTCCGAAATATCACTTACTCGAACCGTCCTGACCGCGTAGCTCAGTTGGAAGAGCATTGGGCTAGTATTCCAAAGGTCGTAGGTTCGAATCCCACCGTGGCCGGCCATATTTTTCAAGCTCGCCCGGTGTGGATATACACTCAGAGTAAGATTACAAATATAATATTGTACAAGTTGTTTAAACAGCTTGTAACAAGCTTGTTGATATTATCAGACTTGTGGCAAGGTTGTTTCCACAAATCTGATACAGTCATGATATAACAATATTGTACAAGTTGATTAAACAGCTTGTAACAAGCTTGTTGATTTTATCAGACTTGTAGCAAGATTGTTCCAACAAGTCCAATACAGTCATGATATAGCAATATTGTACAAGTTGAGTAAACAGCTTGTAACAAGTTTGTTGATATTATCAGACTTGTAGCAAGGTTGTTCCAACAAGTCTGATACAGTGATGATATAACAATATTGTAGAAGTTGAGTAAACAGCTTGTAACAAGCTTGTTGATATTATCAGACTTGTAGCAAGGTTGTTCCAACAAGTCTGATACAGTCATGATATAACAATATTGTACAAGTTGTTTAAACAGCTTGTAACAAGCTTGTTGATATTATCAGACTTGTAGCAAGATTGTTCCAACAAGTCTGATACAGTCATGATATAACAATATTGTACAAGTTGATTAAACAGCTTGTAACAAGCTTGTTGATATCATCAGACTTGTACCAACATTGTTCCAACAAGTCTGATACAGTCATGATATAACAATATTGCACTAGTTGATTAAATAGCGTGTAACAAGCTTGTTGATATTATAAGACTTGTGGCAAGGTTGTTCCAACAAGTCTGATACAGTCATGATATACCAATATTGTACAAGTTGTTTAAACAGGTTGCAACAATCTTGTTGACATTATCAGACTTGTAGCAAGATTGTTCCAACAAGTCCGATACAGTCATGATATAACAATATTGTACAAGTTGATTAAACAGCTTGTAACAAGCTTGTTGATATTATCAGACTTGTAGCAAGGTTGTTCCAACAAGTCTGATACAGTCATGATATAACAATATTGTACAAGTTGATTAAACAGCTTGTATTCAAGCTTGTTGATATTATCAGACTTGTAGCAAGGTTGCTCCAACAAGTCCGATACAGTCATGATATAACAATATTGTACAAGTTGACTAAACAGCTTGCAACAAGCTTGTTGATATTATCAGACTTGTAGCAAGGTTGTTCCAACAAGTCTGATACAGTCATGATATAAGGATATTGTACAAGTTGTTTAAAAAGCTTGTAACAAGCTTGTTGATATTAGCAGACTTATAGCAAGGTTGTTCAAACAAGTCCGATACAGTCATGATATAACAATATTTTACAAGTTGATTAAGCTGCTTATAACAAGCTTGTTGATATTATCAGACTTGTAGCAAGATTGTTCCAACAAGTCCGATACAGTCATGATATAGCAATATTGTACAAGTTGAGTAAACAGCTTGTAACAAGCTTGTTGATATTATCAGACTTGTAGCAAGATTTTTCCAACAAGTCTGATACAGTCATGATATAACAATATTGTACAAGTGGATTAAACCGCTTGTAACAAGCTTTTTGATATTATCAGACTTGTAGCAAGATTGTTCCAACAAGTCCGATACAGTCATGATATAACAATATTGTACAAGTTGACTAAACAGCTTGTAACACGCTTGTTGATATTATCAGACTTGTAGGAAGATTGTTCCAACAAGTCCGATACAGTCATGATATAACAATATTGTACAAGTTGATTAAACAGCTTGTAACAAGCTTGTTGATATTATCAGACTTGTAGCAAGATTGTTCCAACAAGTCCGATACAGTCATGATATAGCAATATTGTACAAGTTGAGTAAACAGCTTGTAACAAGCTTGTTGATATTATCAGACTTGTAGCAAGATTTTTCCAACAAGTCTGATACAGTCATGATATAACAATATTGTACAAGTGGATTAAACCGCTTGTAACAAGCTTTTTGATATTATCAGACTTGTAGCAAGATTGTTCCAACAAGTCCGATACAGTCATGATATAACAATATTGTACAAGTTGTTTAAACAGCTTGCAACAGGCTTCTTGATATTATCAGACTTGTAGCAAGATTGTTCCAACAAGTCCGATACATTCATGATATAACAATATTGTACAAGTTGATTAAGCAGCTTGTAACAAGTTTGTTGATATTATCAGCTATATGCAGACTTGTAGCAAGATTGTTCCAACAAGTCTGATACATTCATGATATAACAGTATTGTACAAGTAATTTAAACAGCTTGTAACAAGCTTGTTGATATTATCAGACTTGTAGCAAGGTTGTTCCAACAAGTCTCATACAGTCATGATATAACAATATTGTACAAGTTGTTTAAACAGCTTGTAACAAGCTTGTTGATATTAGCAGACTTGTAGCAAGATTGTTCTAACAAGTCTGATACAGTCATGATATCACAATATTGTACAAGTTGTTTAAACAGCTTGTAACAAGCTTGTTGATATTAGCAGACTTGTAGCAAG